AATGCATATCTCTTCTGTCCAATGAAGGATAGTTGTTTCAGTTAGCCTTCCCAAATAAGCAGATGAAAAAAAAAAAAATGATCAAAATATTACGGATGACAAATAAAGTTAAATCTTTAACAAAATTGAATTTTCCGTTTTTTCTTTCTGTTCGAAATCTTTTAAAAAAGTATAGAATTTGACTTGAAATGATGAGTAAATAGTTCAAGTATAACCGGAAGAGCAGGTTACAAAAGCAGATCGAATCATGACATCAATGAAAGGATCAGATATGAGGTGTCAAGGGGGATACAAGGACTTGTTTAAAAATGATAACAGTTTCCACTAACAGCCACAATTCTTTCCTCCACTTCAAAAGGAACCGAAACTTCCTTATTATTTATTTTTAAAATACATAAAGATTAGCATTATCGGCACTTTGAATAGTGAAATTATTGATGCTAATTAATTAATTAATCGCAAATCAGCGAATCTTTGAAAAATACTTTTCTCTATATCAGATAGAATTCTTATGGGCTTGATTATTTAAATATCTATGTGTTTATGATTGCTCGGTTTTCTTGGTACTTCGAGCAAGTACAGTTGGTCTGAGTTTATCTGGATAAGGATGTTTATTTGAATAAAGATAAGTCACCTACGCAGAAAAGATCTCTGGAATAAAAAAAAAGCGTGAAATTCCCAAATTTCTTGAAGTGCTTTCGAAATTTTAATTAAAATATTTGTTTAATCAAGTAGTGGTATCCTTTTAAGTGCTTGACAAGCGATTATTATTACAATTCGTTAACTTCTCGGATCGATAATTCTGCATTATTCACCATTTCGAAAGTGAGAATTTCGGATGTGTACTTTGAAACAGGGAAAGTGACTGTCGCAAAATAATTTTTGAAAATTTCGAGAAATTGCCAAAACAACATTTGATACGATAATAAGAGAAATATAACGAAAAAAAAGATGTTATAATGATGTTCCTCAATCCTTTCACTGATCGCTAAACAATGCGGTAACTATCCTTTAGAATTAGTTCAAAGGCTACGAAAAGCTTTCAGCTACTTTAACATTTTCAAATGAGACAGCACACGCCGCCACTACTTCTAAAGTTGATATAGAAGGATTTTCCAAACGGCTTAACTTATTGGTCACTGCACAACAACAGATATTCATGTTAATGAAATAAATTTAATAAGCAAATGAAGGAGGAAAGGCAAGGCAACATTATTTGTGTTTGCAACATGCAAGGAACGTTGTCACCGTAAGGTGTCTGTGATATATGTCCCATTTCTCGACGGCACGATCTTCCCGATACATAACACACTTCTATCCATAATCACTCATTACTAATGTTTTGGTGATGATCCTAAGATACCAGTAATTCTCATTAAAAGGCCTCATTCTCCATCCATTACTGTTTCTACCTCTGGAATTGACTAATTATGCGACTTTCGATTGTTATCTCGATGAAGCAGTTTTCTCAAAAGAAAAGAATTTGTAAATTTCGTCTCATTCATTTACTTAAGTTTTCTTTTTTATGTGAAGTGCGTATGCAAACTTTTGAATGGCAAACGATGGAATCAATATCTATTTCAAGGGATAAAGTTCATTTAAAAGTTTTTTGCTGGAAAAAGAGAAAGTGAATAATTAATTACGAATTATATGGCACCTAAATTAGAGGATTTGGAGAACTCTGATCCTTTGTTTTCTTCAACTTGAACGATTTACAAGCACAGTGAAGAGACGGTAAGCGATGAAAGAAATAGAGTATTATGGAGTGTCGATGAGAAGAGCAATCCTGAAAAAGTTATAACTGATCAATTCACACCTTTCCATCCTGGTAAAACGCTTATGAACTACTCTAATGAACACAGAATGGATGTAAGTTAAAAGGCATTCCAATCATACAACCATGTAAGTGGACATTATATAATCACATAAAATATGATGGACATCATACAAAAATTATATAATCATATAAAACCATATAACCATATAATTATAAGTTCAGTCGTATAAGTGAACTGAAATTTCTTAAATTGGCTTGAAATTCTTTAAGAAACGAGCATACTAGTTATTTCCATTAAATGATTTCTTCCTTCCGTTAGGAGATATGGAATTGAAATTTTAAGCAAAAACAGTTAAAACACTTATTCTTAATTGTATCTGTTTAAAAATCAAAAACAAAAGGGATGAAAGCTTAATTCGGATTGTCATTTTCAATACTCTACGCTGAGTAAATTGCTGTTTAAATTGAAAACCGGTTTTTCCATTGATTTAAAAGGAAAGTTTAAGGATTAAGGATTCATTAGAAGACAATGTAAATCAACAAAATTATCTCTTGATACATTATTCTGAAATTTAGCCCAAGAAAACTATAACTGAAATAGACTTAGACTCGATAGAAACCTTGTTTTGAAATGTTTATCTTTGATAACTGACCTCACGGCTCTGAACGGAATGTTTATAGATATACTGATGGTAATATGTGATCAGTGGGATTATCAAGGAGGTAAATTTTTCTTTACAATAGTTTAAACATTCAGAACTGTCATATCTAAAAGACCTAACTTTCCGTCCCTTCCTAGCCCCTTAAAATGTCTTATATTCGAATCGAAAAAAACCCTCGCATCACAATTTTTCGGGAAGAATGAACTGATATTAAACGTACAACTAACGCATATCTGTTTTTCCATACTTGTGACGATTTATAATATTTGAGTCACAACCAATACTTTTATTCGTACAAATGCTCTACTGAATTTCAGAATAAAAATTGCTTAAAGATTCGATTATATTACGCCATTATATCCCATCACTATTCGGCATAGGCGGCTACCATCAAAATTAAACTCGAAATCAATTTATCATCTTGATCCTTAAATCCCTTGCCATTTTTTGTTACCCTATAAAAATTTCTAATCTTGGTACTTGTAAGATTTGGAAAAAAAAATTTGAAAAATTTGGAAAAAAAAGGTACTTGAAAGACAAGGAAGACTAATTTACCTACCAACAACTCTGATATAGGAATATGCAGTATCGCTAAAGGATTAGAGAACGCCTAGATGCAGTTTGGTCCACACACAGCGTTGGAAAATCTGGCTTTATACACTGTGCATCATATCATAGATATTAGGATTATCATATTGGAAAAATTGAAAAAGTAACATTTACTGACGTAGCGAGCAGTAAATATTACATAATTAATATAAAATATAAAGATAGAAGTCTACATGCGTAAGATACATATTTTTCATGTTTACAAATATTTGCTTCACTTCATTTCGTGGACCAATTTCTACAGTACCATCAATTTTCGCGCATGTATTTAACGTAGGGTTTCGGGACTTCAATATTCTAATCTTAACTAGGAACTAAGAAGTAAGACCCAGTGCAAGAACTGTAAGACTATTTACTAATCTCAATCCTGTGGAGTGTTAATGCTGTAGATTCTGGGATACTACTGATTTCAATAATATACTTAGCAGTTCTTTCGTTCGAAATGAATGCACGTTATTGTTATACCTCCGTGTCATGAGTTGCCATCCCGAAATACGATGTTTCTTCTTGGACTACATCGAAACGAGCAATCTCTTCAGAAATTGTCGAGAAGATGAGAAATGACATAGTTGGGTATGTCTCGTTAGCAATATGGTAAAATGCGGTTTGCGAGGACAACTGCACTATCTAGTGTGTAAATAGATAAATTTATCCTCAAAAAGATCGATGTCCATTTAAACCACTCAGATCTATGAAGAAGACAGCGTTATTTACAGGAATATTCCTGAATAATTTGCTTCTCGACCTCAGTCAACGGTAAGTAGTGGTTTGCTCCAAATGCCATTATTGTTCAGGATGCATGGCAAAAAGTCTACTATTTTGCTGAAGACCAGTCCCAACTAATAAATCTAAGGTCAAGACTAACAGATTTCTTAATTGCTGGAATTTCAAAATAATAGTGTCAAAAAAACCGACGAGATTTGATGTTTCCCTAAAAGAACAGAATCAAAGCGAAAATTTGACACATTTGTTTGGTGCCATCAATTATTCCCAGTTTCCTGTGATTATAAGATTGTTTCTGGGTAAGAACATTTCTTGTGGAACTCTTCCGCGCTTTTTTATAACCTTAATTTGTTTTAGTCCACTACTTATTATGACCTCACGAGACCGCCCACACAAACAACATTGGAAAACCAATGTTGTATTTCCTTTCCTCCTTGCACTATTTGCAATGTAAGTGAAATGAGAAACAAAGTTCCAGCAGATACATTAAATTGAATTAAAAAGTCACTCATTATTTACTAAAGGAGAAAAGAAGTACACCTAAGGCTTGAAATGAATAACCACTTGAAAAAGAAAACTGTGGAAGGAATAAGTGATGGACAAATACTGAAATGCAAGGTTTTGAAAAATAAAACAACCCTGACACATGAAGTAACAGAATAAAATTTAGAAGGGGTAAAAGTTGCAAGAAGTTGTCGCTAAAAAAGGAAGCGCCACATTACCTATGGTGCTACGATTGCAGGCATTGGCTGTATTGTAATGTGAAGGTAATACTGCGGGATTGTTTTGAGGATCAGAAAACTAGTTTTGTATCAATTCTTACGTGATGTTGGTAAATGTACTTGTACTTGCTATAACCGTTGCCAATTTGTCATCTCTGTTGCACAAATATCTCTTTGCTTTCCTACTAAGTACCCAAAAGAATAAACGATTTATACTGGTCCAAGTACTCCGAAAGACAGGAAAGGTTAAGCAAGAAAAAAAAGTGGGATTAATCATAAAATTCATGTTCAGAGTATTGAACGTCAACGACTGAGATGTCACAGAACGATGGAACAAAACCTTTGGATATTTCAAGCAAGATAAAACTTAATAATCGAAAAAACACGGCCCTAGTAAACAATAATTCTGAAATAAGGCCAACCCGAAACCTTGTCAGATATCTGCCATTTGCAGATAACTACACACCAATACGTACCAATAGTATCTCGCCTGGGGAATAAAAAGTGAACTATTACTAGAAAATAAGCAACCCACTCCTTCTCTGAGTTCCTGCGTAAATAGTAAGCTGGATAACCTCATCGTAAAGATGATCAGTGGTGGTACAATTGATAAACTTTGGAAAATGAACGACAAACCTGATAAACATCTGAAACACGTTCAATTACGTTATCCCTTACTCTTTCGCAGTTACACAAAGTCTGTTTATCAAATCAGACACTGACGCAAGCATAAGCAATTTGTCAGTTCCTTTTCATTGATGAATCAAAGGGTATGAAATGGATTATTACAGCTATAGTAAATGAACAATAGTAACTCTTCTGAAAAACCGGTAATAATATTTCTCAAAAGTAATCACTTCTTACGACCACCTATAAGGGATCCAGAGATCGATGACATGTTCGAAAATTTTGATAGCGCACCGAGCACTATCAGACTTATCATTCCACAAAAAAATTTTATCAAGAAACATATCTATCAATTTTTATCATTTACTGAAAAAAAAAAGTTAAAATTGTTTCGAACATTATATCAGAAAACGAGGAAATACCTAGTTTGGTTTCACCAAAAGAAGAAAGAAAAGAAATCAAAAAAAAACATGGAAGTACAAAATATTGGCGCTATAAAATTCCATCACCGCAATATTTGAATAAGGATGAATGAAAGCACAGAAACAACAAACATGAGAAATTGAAACCAGGAGCTGATCATGATGTAGGTTTTCTGCATACGAGATGAAAATGAATATTCAAGGAACAATATCAAAACACCGGCACCAATTCTCCAGCTATTTCAAGCCCACATGGTACTTTTTTCCGTAAAATCAACCTGCTTTGAACATCTTATCGGGAAAGGCTCAGATGGGATACGAAAATGAGAAATTGGCTAGAAGAGTAGAAAATTAACGTATGAAAGATTGTAAGGTATTCCAAATTCTTTGATCATTTACTAGTACGAATCACAGGGAAACCACTGACACTATGTTTGTTTTGTCCACGTCTAGACGACAGACAGGGCATTTTTTATTGTACACCAGCCAGCGATCGATACAAACAATGTGGAATACATGACTGCAGCGAAGCGCTCGAACTTCCTCGTCCATTTCAAAATCATTCAGACACACCTAAATGATTCTGTGAAATGATTTTGGAAAGGTCGATGATAACAAATGTACTGATACAACAGAAGACAAATAACATAAACTTACTGTACAGCGTTCCTGTTCGTTTTCGGGAATATCATTCTCTTTGATATATTTGTAAGTAGTTGAGAAACGGTTGATTTGTTCAACAGTTGCCCCAACTGGTACAGGATCATTGGAAGTCGGTACATTGCCACCCAAAATAACTGGATCATGTGGCTGCAACAGAACCTGAAATAGACAAATTTTTTTAGAATAAAGAAGAAAGCTAAAAAATAATTGGACAAAAAAGAAAACGAAAAGATTAGAAATTATAGCTTACCATAGCGAGCTCCATGATGGGTTGGTGGTGACGCGGCAGGAAAACCACCGGTTGAGAGGCTAAACGTCTTGGGACGATATCAACACCAATCAGGTTACCTGATGCCAAAGAATGCCGCTGAAACCACAAATTGTTGGCCTGTTGTTGACGTTCGATTTGTGCGACACGCGATGACAACAACAAATCATGTACGGGATTCATATCAGCCTCACGCCTGAAGTCCAAAGTAAATAAAGACTTGTCTCTCGTGAAGTTACAAATAAATAAAAATTATTTTAAATTTAAAATTCCAAACAGATTTGGAACAGTGAACAAGAAACCATTCACTACCACATTCGACCGCTACACAAAGAATACCTGTAACTGGTGCCTGATTCGTTCCGCTGACAAAAGCACATTGGATGGCGCGGACAAATATGATGATGATTGTGATATGGACAGGACTGATATGGACATTGGTAGGTACTGCGACTGCGGCAATCACAACAAAATGCGGGATTTAAGCCTGGCCTACTATTATCACTTCTCTCTTCACCTTGAGCTCTATAAAAGAAACAATGTAGTGAAAATAAAGCTACTGAAGACATATCACACAGTGAAGACATGCTTACTCAATATGTCGTTGAGAAGCCAGATATGAAGTGGCTGCTTCTGCACCGGGCTCAACACGGCGTATTTTCTGCAAACGAATATTCGCAACACCATCCGAATCTGCTACTGGAGGATGACTGGTGGCAAGCTGTTCACCGGATCGTTTTAGTCGCATCACTGACGATCGAAGAGATGGTAAGGCTAAGGTAGGTGGTAAAGATGATACCTACAAAAAAAAGTGCACATTTAATACATACAGAAATGCAATGGGAGTGTTTTCCAGTTATAGAATGATATCAAAGATCACCATTGAATTCGAAATATCAAATTTGTTGAACTTACACGAGAAGATGCAACATTGCTTGTTACTGTTGCTGGTAAAGTATGGGAATGGGTTTGCGAAAATGTAGCAGGCACCGTACCTAAAATATAGAAATGCGGTATTAAATATAAACGAAGGATAAGGCAGAACCAAAATATTAGCACAATATAAATGAATAAATCGAATGATGTTTTCCTTCCTGTAACCTTCTATGATGGAACTAACCCAAAGATGAGAGCGAATGTGAAGCATAAGTAATTGGACGATAATGAAGTGCACATGGCTGAGCATAGATGCAGTGGCAGACTGCTGTTATTGGAGTACCGGCCGACAGCAATGTACAAGGTGAAGCAGGAGGTGCAGCTGTAGGACCAGTGACATATGTAGCTGTTAATGCTGATGGATAAATAGGCGGGGTGGCAAAGGCTGAAGTTTGCGTAAAAGCCGTTTCGATCACACCAGGAACCTAAAATTTTGATTTTATATAGCTAAAATCATTGGGTACAAGTTTCAAGTAATGCACGATGTGATGTGTATAGTTCTCTGAGAGGTCCTTTCGATAACAGCCACTATGGTATTCCAATTTTAAAAACTTCATCGTAGAAGTTCCCAAGATAAGGAACTCCTACGTTTACCAAAATGATGAAGCACATTCTTACCATAATTTGAGGAAAACGTATAAAAATTTCAGCATGAGACCCTAGCTGCACTCACATAATAAAAGAGAACCCACCTGTATTGGAATGTAAGTTGCAAGACTGCCTTGCGAAGCCACGGAAGGCACTGAACCAGCCGTAAATGTTGGTCCAGAAACAAAGGAAAGAGCTGTATTATGTGGTGATATTTCGCTAGAATATGGAACCCTATTCGTCCCATCACTCATCTGCAAAACGCCGCTTGCATTGTGCATGTTTCCCTCCTGCAATGCCATTATGGGAATTTTCTTCGTCCTTAAATGCCATTTATTTTTAACAATGAGATTCTATCAGAACGGGTACATAAAAAGGAAAGCCTGAAAATCTCTTGCGACATCGCTGCGCAGCGCTGATATGATTCAACGCGTCAATTACGTCATTACCTGGACCCGTGTAGCAGTAAAAGAACATTACTTACTGGTAATCCTAATATCTCAGCAATGCTTCTTATGGACAAATCCATTCAAAAGGAATGATAAGTGCAATCTAAGCAAATATCCTTTGGCTTTTTTTTCCTAGCAAACAGAATCCACTTTGTTCATTTTCACCATTGCCTGAATCCCATAACAAGCTTTAACATAGATACAAAAGATTTATCCACTTGCAGACGACATTACCCGAAGTGTTCAGTTAAACAAGCACTGACCATTAGTAGCTCGTTTGACAGTCCGTTTACTTGTGCCGTTCCACTCGGAGATGTCGTCTGCTTTGCTTGGGACATTTCCGGCGCAGCAGGTTGAGAAGAAGCAACCACCTGCAAGCAAAAGTATAAATAAATCAGTAAGCTTCCAACATTGAAATATGCAACAAATGGAGTGAATTAAAACTTCCATTTTCCAGCAGCTTGATGACATTCTCGGGAGTGATGTCACCCCTCTTTCCTCCCTCTTTATTTATGCATCATGGTATTAGATTAAAAGATATGCAAAAATTGTATAAAGTCATAATCGACTCGACCCATTTTGAAATATCACATAATGAAGTGCGTAATTTACGCACCGAGATTACTCTAAAACATTATCCCCTTTCGCAATTCTGCTTGGAAATTGCCATTTTTTTAAACATTTTCACTTCCTCGTCGCTCACATTCTGTTATAACTATAGACCATAACTGTTTCTATTCTTTCCATTTCTGGTTAACATTTCCTTTCATATCTTACTAGACCTCGCCAATTCTGAACATTCACCTGTCCGCTACCTACACAATTCTATCCCTCTTTAAAGGATCCCACATACATCTGAATAACCCACAGCAACCATTATCGATCCCACCACACACTACTCAATTATGCGACACCGCGAGCAAGAAAAACACACATGGACCTAGTTCGGAATGTGAGGGCACGCGGGAAGATCTGATTAGCGCCTCAGTCTGCCATAATACTAGAAGCATTTATTTGCATCTTACAGAGGTAAATGAGTTTGCTATCCATCTCAGAAAACTACGTGTTATCATATTCTTCATGAATCACTTATGTGACACGTAGGGATAAGCACAATATTTGACTTGAGAACATTTATTCAACTCTAATTAATATTTGTCAAATTTTAATCGTCATTTGCTTTTTCAAAAGCCTTTCGGTTACCATCACAATTTCTTCATCCTGAATGCAGTGTACAATATAGAAAGCATATTACTTAAGTGACAAATAGTTCCATCCAAAGAAGTTGAGGTGATCTTAACGACTCGAAGTTTTAAATAATATTCCGGCACAAAATAATTTGATTTGTTGCCTTAGAATAACATGATAGTACCAATCACATAAGGTTTTCAAGAAAAAAGAAAAGAGTAGTTTTCAAAACAGTGAGATGCATCAGTCAGGTGATGAAAATTGATTTTTGGAAATAGTAATGAAAAGGATGGCCACAAGTAGATAAATTCAAGTTGTTAATGTGAAATAATGTCTGAAGAGAAAAAGTTATAACTATGGATACCCTTCAGGTATTGTTGACTTTAACAAACTTGAATTTTGAAACTTGAAACT